GACCGGAAATTCAATTAATGTATAAGAAAGTCCAAATGAACCCGGAATAATTCCAAATTTTAACACGATACTCATATATTTCTATGTTGCCTCTGTGAAAAAACAAGGGGGGAGGCAACGTATATCGTTTCGAACACAAAGGTGACAAGTCCCCCCTCGGGAACCACGAGTCTTCTCGAGAGAAGCTCCGGTTTGCAAGAAGCTTATACCAAAAACTTATCCAAATGCGGCCATTTTTTTACCACAACATGTGGTGCCATGAAATAACACCATGCCAAGTTTTATGATTTTCAGGCGAGTTTTGAATTTCCAGGAATTTAAAAACCCAAGTTTCTCAATGTTCCCGACTGCGCCACGATGCTCAGATGTTTGAATTTCATTCTCATTTCTTGCATGGGACCTATAAATTCACCCAAACATACACATGTGATTTTTCAACAAACTTTGGTGCATTGGAGCATGTGCTTGTAGTTCAAATTTGAATTATGCACATTAAATGCTGAGAAACTCAATTAATCCATAAAAATGCCAAACGAACCCGGAATAATTCCAAATTTAAACACGACACTCATTTAGTTGCATCTTCACTTTACATAAATGTTCTAGCAATTCAAACACCATCCTTTCCCTCTGTAACACCATTTTATCTTTCAAAACGTAATGAAAAAATCAGGTATACCACAAATAGTTTACTAGAAAGAATTGTGTGGAATGCGATATAAAATATCTTGGCGCACCATCTTGTCTGTCTTATGCAGGAAGCTTCGTCGTCTATAGTCCACCGCCCCCGCTTGAACCACACGTGTGCGCTAGTTTCTCGCGGCACCAAGCGAATTTTTTTTGCCACGACGGAAATATTTATCTCCCCGCCCCCTCCCTTCCACCAAAAGTCACATTTCCACTGTTCCTCCTTGTTTCCAAGTTCAAACCTTCACTACTGCTTACTGGCAACCCAGCCTCCTCGCCGGCGACCCTTCTTCTTGCAGGACCGCCTCCTCGCCAATGACCCTTCTTCTTGCAGCGCCGCCTCCTTGTTAGTGACCCTTCTTCTTGCAGCGTCGCCTCCTCGCCGCCGACCCTTCTTCTCGCAGCACCGCCTCCTCGCCGGTGACCATTCCTCTTGCTGCGCGGCCTTCTCGTCGTCGACCCTTCTTCTTGGTGCGTGGCCTCATCGATATGGTCAGATAATCCACACCCCACCCACACCATCCTCCTCCTTTCCCGTCCCACATGCCCCGACCGACGGTGTGACACCTTCCGCCGAAGTCACTGTCCCCCTCCTCCAATTAAGTGTCGTCCACATCCATTTTGCATGCAGTATAACATGAAGCTTAGTAGCATCTGGCAGCAGAGAAGCAAATCGCGGCCGCACGCATGCACGAGGTCGCTAAGGCTGCCATGCATGTCGACCGCCAGATCTTGGAGGAGCACCTCGTCTTCGAGGCCACCGTCAACACCGCCACGCGGTTGTCTACTTTAAAATACAGTTCGTACTGTTTTCTTGAGGCCACGGCCAATGCCTTCTAGCGATTTGTCCTCTGTAATGTTAATATGCAATCTGATGTTCAGTTTACAGTTTGGTCCTCTGAAATGTAATGTTCAGTTAACACTTTGGTCCTCTGAAATGTAATGTCCAGTTAACAGTTTGGTCCAACAATTGCTACATTTCGTAATAGTGTTCTCAAGCATTCTTTGTTTTGTTAACTGTCTTATCTTCTAGTACATGTTTCTATTCTGCAATGTCGTGCGCAGTTAACTATTTTGGTTCATTTGGTCTGCTATCCATTTAATTGTTTGGTTCAGTTCTGAAATTTAGTTTTCTTTTGTTGTGGGTACAATTTTGCATTGTTACGCATGTGAAATAAATCGAATTTGGCTGTACTAAATACATATTATACTGATAGTATGATAACTCTCAGTTAACCTGATCAAGATCTTCCTTATGTGTGTTGCAGGGAACAATGGGAGACACTGCGGTTTACCATCGAGGTTTGTTCAAGCATGGTCCTTTGGCTAATAGCACATTATTGTGCAGTAGTTGCAGGAATCATTCTAATATTTAGGTTTCTTACAATTTGGTCTTGCACATGTAGGTCCTGCTGTCAGAGGCTTAGACCCACTGTTCGACCCATTTTGCATATGGGGAAATGAGATGTCCATGAATATCAGTCAATTTAAGAAACTCGGAAAGATTGTTAAGATGAAGAAACTTGCGACGAATAACAGCAAGATATTTGTTTGCACAATGAAGAAGACATCAGTGAACTATAGGATGGTACTAACTCTTTTACCTTGTTTTTACCCCTTGCGCCATTTCAAAATTTATAGCAGCGATTTATGCATATCTTTGTTTTCAGTACTTTTTAAAGCAGTTCACCGATGATTACCTCTCAAACCACCTGCATGGTCAAGAGGCGAGGAAGGTATTCATTTAACACCCACGATACAATATTGAAGTCTTGCTGAAGAGGACGAAGGTTGGGCAGGCAATTATCCATAATTACTGGCCTAAAGTTGCAAGGACATTCAATATCACTGAAGGATCAATATTTGCCTTCCGCTTCTGCAGTTTCACAGATGAGATTCATTTGTCTATTTACCGTGTATGATGCTACTTTCCAAAAAAAAATGTTGCATGCGAAACTTGGTGCTGTTGTATAATGGAGGAACTGAGTGCCGAAGCTATCTGATGTAATTCAATTATGAAATCTTGGTTGCTGTTATACGGATATGAAATATCTGGTGTGTTTTTATAAGAAATATCAATTTGATTAGTACATGGATTATCAATCATAGGCTAATTACCATGCTTATTGGGGTTTTCTATTGCAGACGGTTACTCAGACAACACTGTGGGCGATGAACTCAAACAACCCGCACGGTTTCTAGAAAGTAGACGTGTTCAATCAACTAACAATCACACACGGCTTCTGGCAGAGAACTGTTCGCGTTAGGCCACCTTGCCCAAACGTTTCCACACAAAAAACTATGTGTGATATACATACGAACGGAAATATTTTTCTGGGATTCACCGTGTGGGATGTACATTCGAACGAAAACAATTGGGTTTCGATGCCCCACCGGATCACACACGAGCTCATTTTACCCCAGCCTGTGTGCCAGAAGGGCCTATCCCTGACGGTTTCTGGGTCGTGTGGGAAGGACCCCCCTATCGCCCACACTCACTTGGCGATGGTTCCAAACGCCGTCGCGGAAAGGGGTTAAAAACCGTTTGTATAGCAGGTCTCTGCACCAGTGGGTGTCCATGTTCATCTCCCTCTCCTCACCTGTAATTTGTAAGATTGAACATGTTGATGACATCAATGAATCATTCCTCTTTGTGTGTCATTCATTTATGTTTGAGTGATTGATCTGGTTCTAGGTTGAGGTATGATTTAGTATGCAAAATTAATTTTTGTGGCATGATCTAGTATTACTCGCGTTGCACGTTATGTTGGGAGACGTCCTTTCTTGTAATCTTGTTATCACATGCACGTATACTTGTATTAGTCTGCTGCCACTAAGATGCCCCTATAGTACTAGTGAGACCGAAGCCTAGACACCGTCTTCCCTCTATTCAATCCTACAGTTACAAAATCCCCTTCATTAACTTAGTTTACTTTTCACATTCTAACTTGTAGTTTAGTAAATCCCTTTTATTCAAGCTTTCCTAGCAACCGATAGAATATGCTATTTCCAAACTACGGTTTGGGTGCGGATGTGCTACACTGATAACATAGTTGCGGGGTTGATAGTGTCTTCTTATTCGCTTCATGTGGGATTCGACACTTACTTACCACGAAATGCAATAGCCCTGTGCCCTTGCAGGTCATCAGTATGACATATACGTCAACTATGAGAAATTAGGTGATACCGCGTTGCTGCACGAGTTGTTGCAGTATATTTAATGAGATTTAATTGTGTGGAATATAAATATTTAGATTTATAACACTGAAACAAAATTAAAATACATATGACTTATTATATTTGATTATGTATAGTTCTAAAATGTCAAAAGATATCTTAAGTATATATAGGATTCGGGGCAACTTGTTAATTTCTATATCAGTCAACTAAGTGCTCATAGATAACGTATATCGTGCATGCATATGGAGAGGAGTGTGTCCATGTATAGTGTGTTTCTAATAATTATGTTTTAAGGCGAATCAATCTGAGGTTGGATGGTTAGAAAGACAGCACATTTTTTCTTTTTATTTCAGGCCTTCCGGCAATGTGCTTTTAATGAGAAGAGATATCTCGTCGATTGTGAATACGTCTATGATGACTTGATGAGTCTTAAGATGATGTGTCGGCTCAATCTATTGAAGGTACTCACGAGGATAAGGTGTGCATGCAGATGAGTGTATATGCGTGTCTATGATTTTTTTGCACATGTGTATGTACTGTGTTAAAAAATATATATATTTTTAATAAAAGGGAAACTGCACTGCTCCAGAACGTTCTCGCTGCCTCGCGCGTGCACACCACGGATAAGCCAAATGCAGTGCATCAGGGGTCTCTTCCTTAGCTGGGCTGACCGACCGTACAGTCCAATGTTACAGCACTCGTGTCAGTCGCAGCACACTCCTCGTAGCGTGCGTGCGAGCACTTTGATGTCTGTCTGCGCGGTGGGGTCGAGGGGCTCGGCCTGGACACCACTCGTGGTCCGACAACGCGATTGTACCCGACGTTGGCGTTCGCGTCGCGTGCCTTATATCCCGTGGGCCCAGCTCTCGCCGCCGACTCAATCCGGAGCCAAATTTGGATCTTTGATTTAAGCGCGTTCGACTAAACAAGTAAACAGAGAGGCAGAGAGCAACCACATTTCGGCCCGATCGATCCCAGCCTAGATTCCCTAGCCCGGCCGGTGGGGAGCGAATCCGGCAAAGCGACGGCTAGGGGAGCAGCGGTGGGGGAGCCATGAAGCGCTGCTGCCTGCGGCTACATAAGCCGCGCGCCTCCGTTTCGTTCTGTCGGGGACGAGGAGGAGGAGGAGGAGTATGGCGCGGCAGCGGGGGAGCGTGGTGCTGCGGCGGATCGAGGATCGGAGGCGGCGGGGGATCTGCTTTAGGAAGCGGCGGGCGGGGCTGGTTAAGAAGGCGGAGGAGCTCGCCGTGCTCTGCGACGCCGACGTCGGCCTCCTCGTCATCAACCCCTTCGACGGCACCTTCCAACGCTTCGCCGCGCCCGCGACGTATGTGCTTGTGCCTCCGATCCCTGTCTTTTCTTCCGGTTATTTGCTCTCTCGATTACTCATCTATAAGAAAATATAAGAGCGTTTAGATCACTTAAGTACAATCGAATTAGGCCAATGTTTCGAATATACAGTAGTATTTCTTTTCCGTGCTAATACGCGACTCTACGGCTCATCTCATGCCGCTCGTTAGCTATATTTTTCTTCCGCACGTAGAGGACGAGATCACGAATTCACCATGCCGAACCTGCTCTTACTCAACTGTCTGAGACTCGGGTCGCCGCCAGTTTATTTTTCTGCCGGCGTTCCAGCTGTAACCACACTACAGTACTGTTCTACTGTACACTACAGTATTTTATGCTTGCGTGAACTACAGTTGTAGCTTTTGTTCCTATGATATCAGTGGACTAGAATTAAGTAAGAGCTGCTAGCGGATTTACTGTGTTGCCTAGGATCAGTCTTTAAGAGTTTATGGCAACCGTCTGGTTCTTTTTCTTCTTCTAGAGATATTGGATTATTGTAGCCGGAAGCAGTATATGGTGCCAGGATCGATATCAGGCGTTCCTTCTATCGTTTTGTTGCTTCTGAAAGGCATTCAGAACCCGTCAAAGTTGGTTATTTCTTGCTGACTGCTAACCAAATTATTTGAAATCCCAGCTTAATTTCTAAGCAGAAAATGTGTACCAATTTACAAAACTATGTTTTGCCATAAAAATATTTCTTGTTTCTAAATAGAGGTAGGATGTAAGAAAAGCGATACATTATAATTATGGAAACACGTAGTTGGTACAAGTATATGATCAATGTGCATTATAATAGTTGCTAGGTGCCTAAATCCTTGCGCAAAAAATATTATTACCACAATAGTGATGACTCTGTTAGTAATAGTCTTGTCATCATCATATCCATAATGAGAACCGCAGGCAACTTAAGTGCATGCATCATGCATGCCAACAGGAGGAGATTATACTACAATACGAACTAGTATATAAACTGCAAGCTGAACTAGTTTTGATATAAACTATGGAGAAATTTGGGCGTATATATAATAAGATAGTGGTGGTTATTATACATCGGAGTAAGATAAGCCAACAAATAATACTAGATGACAAGGGATTATCTAGTGAAGTGAATATCCCTATGATTTCATGTACATGTAGTGGAGAATTTGCATTTCAGAGTTCATCTTGAGATTTACTTTGTTATCACATATGCAATGTATGTTTTGAGTTTGGCCATGTATGTTTACATGTTGCACCATAAATTATTTTTTCGAACTTGCATGCGAGATGAGCTATACGTGACCAATTAGAGCTCATGCAGAGAAATAATGAGTGAAAAGTTAGGTGTCGGTCGGGCTACTAGAAATAAAAATCAGTCACCTCCCACTCCGTCTAGTTTGAATTAAGTAATTGCCTTATAGTGATTGATTGCTACAAAAAAATATTTCCTCATGCAACATTTTTGTTGTGTACATGCAATATTGTTGCAACATACACAAAAAATCACTGGAAACTTCACAACATATGCGACATAAAAAATAATGAATTGAGAAAGGGGAAGTGTGTTTGCAATGAACTGGACCCTTAAAAACACAGCCATAACCATTGCAACATGTCATCTGCATATACGCAATAAACAATTTGTGCCTTGGGTTCGCTGATGAAAAATCCACCAACTGATGCCCCGTCATCTCCCGATTCAAGTGAGTCTCGACCCATCCATGCCTAGGCACCATTTTCCTTGAGTCGGATAGCATTGACCGTCATAGCTAGATCATATTTTAGAGATAAGTATTACGGGGGATAGAAACTCATCTATTGTATCTACAGATAAAATGTAAACATCGATACACCATGAGCCCATAACCTAGCTTTTGTATAGCTGCATACATGCATTGACCTGCACAATTGCTCGTTTCTATTTCATTTCATTTTTCGTCATCCGTGTAGAGGATTTTTTGTGATGGTTAGGTTTTTATATTCTATAGTAAGAAAATATTTGATTTGTCAAAGCTAAATTGTAGTATATCCTAACCGTAACCCTGATTCAGAAACTAGAGAAGCATACTATAAAAATGTTATTGTCTACAAATCATGAAGCTGATAAACCCGAAATCCGGTACTATGATTGACATAAACATACTTCTAGGCAGTCGAGCCACCGAGAAGGGCTTGAGTTTTGACATGCACAGGTCAACCCATGTAAGATGACAAGTTTCAATTGCCCAACTTTACTAGGAACTTAGTTTTACGTTAAATTAGTTTAGTTATATTGTTATGGTAATTTCGAAGCAAAACATGCTCATTGTAATAAGTAGTGTTCCACCAATTTACTAAAAGAATGACACACAAAGTCTATACCCTTTCCCTTCCATATTGAGGAAAGACTTTATTTACCTACAAAATTTAAAATATGCGCTATGTCCCCTCATAAAGTCACACAACCCTTCTATGCCCTAGCATTTCTCTAAAAACTAACGTTTTCATTTGCTGGCAAGTTAGGGGGCTATATAGCTAGGTATGAAAAAAATAGTTTCTCCTTGGTTTGGTTCTATATTTATAATAATAATAAAGTTTAACATCTACATAAAATTCTAAAGGAAATTCCATCTACTCAACAAATGAATTATTAAATATAAGAATTGTGTGAACAATATTTGTATGTTGCCATGCAAAATATATATTCGTAAGCACTACTTCTCTCATATAAATATTATATCCCTAAATCTACACCCTACACCGAAGTCTAGGCTCAAGAACATGTTTGTAATTTATTTGTGTTTCTTGTCTCTTGCCAATATTTATGTATTCACAAGCATGATAGGATTTAACACACATCTGAGTGGACACCCAGTAAATGTTTATTCAAATTATCTCCCAGCAAAATAATGTTTTTCATAATAAAAGGACATAGATAGTTGATTCATGAGGCCATGACGCCTCTCCAAATGTAGCATCTCTTAGCACTTTACCATAGAAGATATAAAACTTAAGAGACGACTAGCCCAATGCATTGTTTCTTAGAGCAAGTACAAGACATAAGCAAGCTATAAGGACTAGAATATTATATCTTTACTTGGTTGGAGGAGAGAGAAGAGAAGCAGACTCTTGGTTAGTAGCCAGCTGCAACACGAGACCCAAAACGCTTTGTGAGGTTGTAAGATGAGTCAACTACTAATAAAGTAGTACACATCTAAAATTTACTATTGTACATGCTGGCTATGTGGTTGACTCTGGATGACATTGCAACTTCTTATAGACGACCGTTGGCTGTATTATTAACCATGCTCTTACGGGTTGTGTCTAAATTTTAATGACTTGGGGCTCATGCATACATGTGATTGAGATAGCAATATTTTTTGCCTACGGCCACGTGCAAGGGTTGTATGTTAGCTAAGCTACAACCTCCCTCCCTCCCTCTCTCTCTCTCTCTCTCTCTCTCTCTCTCTCTCTCTCTTCAACTACTATGCCACGTCAGCAAAATACCTATGAAACCGTATTAAGAAACCTGCATTGGAAGAGCCTTGAAAAAAAATCAGGACATTAAAACTTGTGGGCTTATGCATGTTTTAACATGTACAAGAAACTTGGTCTTGACTCACGTGGTACTAATTGATTTACAAAAAAAAGTTAAACCTACAAACTCACATGGAAGCAAGTGCTTTACTTCTGGTACTCTTTTATCTCCCAGTACTCTTGATAATTGGACACCTAATCTCCACAAAATTTTAGGGTACACATCAAGAAACTCCATGGAAGTTCACATGGATATACCTATTTGAACTCCTTGGGAAGGTGAAACGCCTAACTATGAGGCACCCCTTTTGAATTTGGTCACTCTGGATGCCTAAGGATGGTTAGGAATGTGTTTAATACTCTATTTTATCTTCAGAGGTTATAGGTGTTGGGGGAAATAGGGACATGTATTCCTATAGGGCCATAGGCCAGTTTATATATACATATAGGCACGGTAAAATATACAGAAACCGCTTTATACAACGGAGATAGTACACAGATATTATATACAACTGTAGCACTCACCAGACTCATGGGGATTAACACACTGAATTTTAAGAGATAAAAGTCATCATGTGCTCTAGTTTGAGCTTTCATGGAGAAATCTACTAACTGTAGCTTGGAAGGCACTTGTTGTGGAGCAATCACCTGATCATGCACATGGGGCCACAGGAAAGAAGCCTCGACACCAATATGTTTAGTGAGCTGATGTGTCATACGGTCACACGCGACATTGATTACACCTATATTGTCGGATGAAAAAGGATTTCATCTAGTCATAGAATCAGCCAAACCCTCAAGGATCCACAGTGGCAAAGTTACCCTTATTGCAGAAGAGACATAGCTCACAACCCAGGCTCTGCACATTAATGGGAAACTACAGTATGTTTCTTTGTTTTCCGGCTAGTGAGAGAACCTACACCAAGAGAATTAAGGTAAGCAGAAAAACACGTGGCAATCTGTTGAGGGCTCGCTAGCCCAATTAGCATTCGAATAGGCCAGATGTTGTAATGAAAATGGAATGTAGAAAGAGAATACGATGTGAAGAGTTCCCACAAAGATATCATAGTACTTGAAGTAGCTACTATCTGTCGGCACACGTAGTATCGGAAAGACTGTCGGCGTATCTATGGCATCACACAATCCGTCGGCATAGTGTGCTGACAGACAAACTGTCGGCATAAAGTTGTCTGTCGCTGTAGAAATGTCTGTCGGCGTAAATATCACCAATGCTAGCATACTTTCTGTCGGCATAAATTTGTCTATCAGCAATGACCTTTCCCGGCAGGACTATAGGTGACAGCTCCCTTCCGTCGCTAAAGTTCTGTGCCGACACTAAATGTGTCGCCTTAGGTGACCTATAACGACAGATTGTCTGACGTTGATTTGAGTGTCGTGGTGTAGTGTAGGTGACTATAGTGAACTAAAGTGGGAGCAAAGACGCGCTGGCCCAAAATATGAACAAGATAGAAGATATCCGGA